TTGGTACTAGACGACATTTTCTCTTGCAATGACAAGTTCATGTCATGTGTCATATCTGTCGGTCCAACAGCCGTGCCGCAGTAGCCGGCAGCCCTTCCACCATTAGCTTCTACGGCAGAGTCGGAACTCATCGCTTAGTCAGCTCCTGTCCGTCGTTTTCGTGCGCGAGATTTTATTCTTCCTTCGTGACTCAAGCCGCGATTATCTTCTCGATGGGGGTCGGTCATTACATCAAAATGCGACGGGCGATACATTGATCTTGTTACAGGTCAGAGGTTAAGGTTATGTCCATCTGCTACTTTGGCCACCGTCGTTTTAAGAGTTCTTATCGAAGCTTTACCTTAGCGTTAAGCAACGATGGGACGTTTAACAATGACTTGACAAAGATTCAGCACAGACACGTAGCTGTCGAGCCTTTTGCTTTTTCGCTTGATATTATTGTCTAACCTGCTTCGGATTGCTGTAAAGTCTGGCATGAGCTTATCTCTCCAGTGCCAATTGTTGGAGGTGACTGCACGTTTTAGTTGAGAGAGAGTCGCTGGCTGTTGCATCGTCGGCCAATTCTTGATTGATAGATATTCTTCTATAGTTGGGCTTGTTGGGGCAATTTCACTTTGACCCTACTATTGACATCTGGAGTATGTGTCGGATATGCCCTTTGCTTTTTGCTAAGTAGGAAAATTACTAGATATCATACATTTCTTTACGTAAGTATTCGAAGATCTTCAAGTAAGAAGAAAAGAGAATTAATAAAGACTGCGCCTTTACTTAATTGACTTGACTTTATACTTTATTAGATAAGGGTGTTTATACCCGAACAATATGGATAGGAAAGGGAATAATCTAATAAGGAAATTAGCTATCTTAAAAGATAATGAAGTATCAAATAATATCTCTAATATCTGATAATAGCTCTAACAATATTCCCTAATAGGAAATTCTCTAAATTCTATAAATATGCTCCAACACTCCCCCTCAAACCAGAGCATCCAGCTTGTACCTAATAGGTGCAACTTTCTTCCGAATTCTGTGAAGCCAGACCTTATACGAAACAAGGGATGTGGATATATCGAACCGAATATGATAAGGGTTAAAGAAACACATAATCAGAAAGTTGACACATTTTTCTCATACAACCTTAATCAAATCGTGTGGAAACCCAATTTGAATCGCAGCAAACTAAACAGTATCACCCAACGACGCTCAACTTTGGTTGCTTGATGAACCAGCGCTCACAGCTACTTGGATACTTGACGGCAACTTTGCTCGTCGAGGAGCTCTCTATTGAAAGAGAGTCCAACAACGAATAACACCCATGGTAGGCATCGTTGAGTGTAGACAAAATTAGGAAGTTATTAAACATGAGGTGGCTGACGACAGTAAGGCACGACCCCCTTGACGATGAGCAGAGGTTGGAATGAAGCTCGACACCATGACAAAGATTAAGATGCTGATGTCGCCAGGCACAAGAAGGGAACAAAGAAGATGATGGTTGCGACATAGACAATGATGAAGATTGATGGCAAGAAAGAAGAAAAAATTAGGGTATTGATTTGGAACACCAATAAATACTACATTTTTACTCAATTATCTTGACTTTGTACTTTATTAGAGAATGGTATTTATACCCAAATAATATGCATAGGAAAGGAAATAATTTAGTAAGGGAATTAGCTATCTTAGAAAATAACGAAACATCAAATGTTATCTCTAACAATATTCTCTAATAGGAAATTCTTTCATATCCATAAATATACTCCAACACTTTCTGAGTGTGTTGTGGGAGAGAGCTATTAAAAAAGAAAAACGGAGAAGATAAACAGATTTGAGAGAAATTACTAACAAAGAGAGATGACATAACTCGTCCAACACGATGATAACGGTGGTTGCAAAGGCAAAGACATCAATGTGGGGGAGGTGAAGAAGATACGAGCGAGATGACGTAACTCGACGGAGATGATGATGATGATGGTGGTCGTAAAGCCAAAGAGATCAAGGTGATGGAGGTGAAAAAGTTACAAGTACACGCTAGAGAGAGTAGAGTTGAAAATAAGAAGGCAGATTTACCCATCTTAATGAAAGATCCATGTAAAATCGAGCCATCTCAAGATGATTCTATGATTTGCCATTTCCTAAGTGACGTGGGATTATTGTTAATGATATATGGTATTCGTGTTTCTCTTATTGGCATAGCATAAAGCATTCTATTCTCACTCCACATTTTATTTGAAGAGCCAAGTAATCTCTAACTTGTTTGCTCTTCTCATCTACGTCGCTTATGGGTCTTGCCAACATCAGTACTTCATGTCCCCCTTGGCGGGCTCCATGATAAGAAATGATATAGTTTCCAAAAGATATTGTGCTCACCATGCCTTATCTCCTTCTCTTTTTAGCTTTTGCAATGTCTTCAATTGGCATAGGATAAACCCTTTAAAAAAATTATCCACCAAAAAGAAAATTTAACAAAACGCAAAGAACTCTCAAAAAGTTAACCACCGATTAGACCTTTATAACAAGGTCCAGTTTAGGGTTTGGATCGGATCGAAAATAGTCCAATTCAAATTGACACATTTAACCCACTTTGAATTATTTTCATATTATATAAATTTAGTGACTCGTACCTGAACCATATTACTAAAACATTTCTATATTTAACCCAATTTAGGAAAACTCATATCCAAACTGAGGTGAGAGTACGAGATTGAGTGATGGTAAGTGAGACAGTAAAGAGAGAATCATAAGGTGGGTTGAGTCTAAGTTGTGAACCCCTTCAATACTCATATTATTTTGGTCATTACCATTTTAAATCCATTTGTGACCCATTTATCAATATGATTAACCCATATAACAATACAGCCCATCAAATATAGTTTAAGAAATGGGTTTATGACCCATTTTGAAAGGTTTATCACCAATTAAGGGGATAATATTAATCCCTCATTTCTTCCTAAGTTATGTTTAACATGAGATGTAGTATAGGTTCAATGTCTCATTGAAAAATTTGAAATTACCAAAAAATTTGGTGACAATTTAGGACCGACATATCTTGTTTTTCCCGTTCTCTTTGTAACATGAGCATGGTAGTTTTGTTGTTAATTATTTTTCCTTAGCCAGTTTTGTGTATGGCTTGAGGGACCAATGCTCTGGGCATCTTTCCACATTTCCACAAACACTTGGTGGGCAATAACTCTCTCTCTCTCTCTCTCTCTCTCTCTCTCTCTCTCTCTCTCTCTCTCTCTCTCCCCGAATGGTATCGAGCCAGTGCACTTAGAGGTTTCAATGCAAGCGGTGTCCGTACACCCTCGTCGATGGAAGCTGCGATAGACCCGCAGGCCTCGGTGAGAGCTGATGGGTCCATTCATTACGCCCTCTCCTCCGTGACCCCTCCAATGCATCCAAACTTTCTTTCCCTTCTTCTGTCCCTTTCAATCGGGGGTCGGTTCAAGATTCATGAGGTGTTTTGGGGGGGCAAAAGAGAAAATTGACCCAAGAAAAATCCCATGAAAGCTCAGGCCAAGCCCACCCCTGTACGTTGGCATTCCATTGCTGCAGCTGGGGCTAACCTAGATTGAACAATCCACTGTTATTTATTACTTCATTGAAGAGAGGAGGGAGTTTCAAAATGAAGTCATGGGTGGGGATAGAATCACAGCATGGAAGGAGTCCCTGATGTACTATGAGTCCATCTGTATCATTGAAATACGATAAAGTTTAGGAGTGAACTTAGCAGATTCCGCCGGAATGAATAGACGGAAAATCGCACCTCAGTCTTAAACCTTATGCACGGAAGTAATCGATTGCAAAACCTATACATTAATGTCCTAAACCTTTGTCAAAAAGTGAAGTTGAGTTCTGAATATTTTCATTAATGCAATTAAATCTAAAATACTTATAGAAAAATGCAATTAATGCTTGAAATTTATGTTGACATGTGCAATTTAAAGATGACGTAGGCAACTTTAATGTGACAATTAGGCAATTTTAAGTACTATTCATCAAGATGGGTCGATAATAATTTTTTAAAAAAGGTTTAGGATTTAGGACTTGATTGCTTTCCGCAAACAAGGTTTAGTACTCGTGGTGTATTTTTTTCTGGAACTTTCTTAGTGGTCACTAAAATCGCACCTCAAGTCTTAAACCCTATGCATGGAAGTAATCGATTGCAAAACCTCTGGATTGGTACAATAATGTCTTAAACCTTTGTCAAAAACTGAACTTGAGTTCTAAATCTTTTCATTGATTCAATTAATCTCAAGTCTTTATAGAAAAAATACAATTAATGCTTAAAATTTATGTTGAAAATTGCAATTTTAATGTGACAATTAGGCAATTTTAGATACCATTCACCGAGATGGCTCGATTGTACTTTTTTGTAAAGGTCCAAAATTTAGGATTTTATTGTTTTCTGGAGACAAGGTTTAGTACTTGTGGTAGTGGTCACTAAATTTAAATGGATTTTCATTGAAATTGACTTTCAATTACTCTATGTAATAAAAACTCTTTTCTATGCGATTAATGCACTGTGACTAGAATTCGGTTCATTTTTTTTAGACAATCACATTGTAATGACATAACATATCGTTGTCACGTCAGCATTTTTTAAAAAAATTGATCGGGTTTCAATTAATAATATGCTATTTTGATGAGAAAAAAAGAAAGTTCAATATAATTAATGATTAAAATCAATATCTAATGATGTGAGAACAACATGCTGTTTTAAAAATTCCATAACCACGTACGAAAATTTTACCTCCGCAATGGCTCATCGACAGATGGACGAAAGGATGAAGAAGAAAACAAAAAAATCTTTTGAAAAAAATTGAAAAAGTGAAAATGGGGAGATCGAAGTGGAAACTGAAAGGAGGAGAGCACGTGGCAGTTTAACAGCACTAGAAGTTAAAAATCTCTTTGGCTCCTTCAATCCGTCCTTTCTTACTGCTGCTCTCTATTGCTCTACAGGACCCACCCCACTCTCTTCTCTTATTCTCTATTTATGTCTCTCGTTTTCACATCAAAGTGAAGCCTCCCTCTCTCTCGAGCATCTGGAGGATGAGAGATGGTGGGTTTGAGTGTTGTTTTGGAGGGTCAAAGGAGTGGGAGCAGCAGTGTCCACAGCAAGAAGAGCCCACAGGTCATCAACAAGGCCACCATGTCCATGGTGATAAACGGCGCAGCCCCTCTTTCTCCAACACCCACATCATCATCATCATCATCATCATCATTCTGTCGTAGAAACTCTCTGCCCTTCAGTGTTTTCCCAGCAACTGCTTTCTTGGACCAGTGTTTTCTCTGCAAGAACAAGCTCTTGCCAGGCAAAGACATTTACATGTACAAGTAAGTTTTTAAAAAGGAAAAAAAAGAAAAACTGACTTTTCTCCGTTAACCTTTCGCGCAAAGCTCTCTTCTTTATGTCAATCTCACGCTTCTAAGTGACTGTTTTATTGGTTATTTATGCAAGGTTGACCTGATTGAATTTGTAGGGGTTGAGAGACTTTCTAGTTTCTGGTTGATCGTCAGATCTTGCAAAAATGGTTCATATCCGCCAACCTACCAAAGTGATAGGACTTGCATTCGTTCCTCACTTATATAATTAAATGACATGAGATAGTTTTAGATCATTTTTAAGTTCTGAATCTTGCTGTGTGTATACACATCAAGACATTGATGAAAGACAGTTCTTTTCTAGGGGGATTTTTTTTTGTTTCTTTTCCTGTCCTGGGTATGATTTGCCTGAATCGTTTGAAATGTTGTGTTTGGCAATGAATCGGTTTTGACAAATTTTTTCTTGTGTGGGTTTTTGGCAGGGGAGACAGGGCATTTTGTAGTGTGGAGTGTAGGTGCAGGCAAATCTTCATGGACGAGGAAGAGACACTGAGGAAAGACAACTGTTCAATGGCTGCCATAAAACCCACTTCCTCCTCATCATCTTCCTCTCCATCTTCCTCTAGGCACAGCAAAGGAACCAGAAACAAACCTGGTGGTTTTGCTTACTGAGTCTCTACAAGAGAGAGAGAGAGAGGGAGAGAGAGAGAGAGAGAGTGATTGTGCAAGATCATCGAGAAAGAACCAAAAGAAGAGAAAAATTTCTTTTGCTCTTTTCTTTTTCTGGGGGAGGTTTTTGAAGTGCACTAGTTTTAACTTTTTTCTCTCTTTTGTTTCACCCTTTGGCCTTTAATCTGTAGTGAATTTCACATCCTCCTGTTTCTTGTCATTTGTTTTGCTTCCTGGTATGAAGCCAAAAGTGCCTTCCAACTTTTTCTGCCCCCACAAATCTGTGAGTTCCTTGTATGCGCCCATGGTTTGTGGTTGGTGTGACTTTGGTGCAATTCAGTGAATGTGCTCTGCTCTGATATTTCCATTACAGCAATTTTTCATTTTAAAAATAAAAATAAGAAGAAATAAGATTAGGGTTTTGACGAGTAGTTTATAAGATTCACAAAAATGGCATGCACGAGACTTATTAACTTCACTTCAGCCATGCAGGCATAAATGCTCCCCAAGGCCCCTTAATTTAATTAATTGCCTTCATTAATCATGCATTAAAGTTAGAGAGGATTTTTTTAAAAGATGAACTTACATGAAAGTTTACGTTTCCCTTGGGGGACAACCAATGGTGGGGGTGTGTACTTGCACACAAGATGTCAAATTTAAATTATTGCAAAAGCTTCAATCTGATTTGAGCATCTTCAGTGGGGTTGGCGAATTCTTGGCAAGATTACCCACTTAGGACTTAGGAGCGATGCTTTTATAACTGAAGACCGGAAAGAGATTCTCTAAACCCCCACCCCCCCAAAAAAAAATTAGCAAGCAAAAAAGAAAAGTAAGTTAAAAAGTACTCTCGAGGCTCGTTCCTTTGCTAATGGAAATAGAAAAGCTATCGATTTTTGAGTAGGCGATTCTTTTTTATGATATGCGTAGATTCGATCTTTGCTAATTTGATGTGCTTAACGATTGTCTCGACAAGTATGACGTTGGATATGTAAATTAGTATCTACAAAAGTGAATGAACAAACCAAGCCGAGAGATTAAGAAAGCACTCGGGAATCATTTTGATGTGTTGTGGTCTCTGAGGAGAATATTATTGCCACGAGAGATCCACTAAGAATCGAGCGTTAAATTTTTTCTGAAAACCCCCTGATCTACTACTGTTTAGCTGCATCCCTAAGGACTTCCTTTTGTCTGTATTTTACAATTCAGGTAGGGAATGATTTGATTTTTCCAACTATTGTTTGTCGCTCACTTGGAGTGAAGAAAGATCCTTATACCTAATTTAAGTCTTAAGAAATTCCATGAGTCACATTTTGAAAAGGGTCTTTTTGAGGAGTACTTTAAAGACAATTTAAAGGGTATGCTTATAATAATAGGAAGTGTTGATCAGGGCCCTTGTTGTATTTTAATGTGTGCTTTCAAAATATATAAAGAGTAAGCTTTGCATATTGTTGGAAAGCATCTCTTAATCGATATTTAATTTATTTGATTAATTGCACAGCTCCTTTTTTTTATTATAAATGTTGATATGGAAAGAATCGAAGGCTATTCATGAAGAATTCATTGGCAATTAAAATCGATACTCATGTCGGAAGGGATGTGTTGACAGCTGGATAGAGTACAAGCAAACTGTAAAAGCAAGTGTAGAAGCAACAGAGAAGGTTTGTATTAGAAAAAAAAAAAAAAGTGCAAAAGCAACGGCACAACGAATCATTAGGGGTGAGTAACTTGGACCGCCCAAACCGGGACCGGACCGGACCGGACCGGACTGACAAGTTTGGTCCGGTTCTCGGGACTATCAGTCCGGTTCCCGGTTCCTAAAAGCGGAACTGGTTTCCGGGCGGTCCGGTTCCCGGTTCCAAGGGGGAACCGGACCAGACCGGACCGGACCGACTATTTAATATATATTTTTGTTATTTTTTTCTTTAAAAAAATTAATAAAATGTGAACTAAACTCTAAGTGAACTTCATTATCATAAATTCATTGATAAAAAAATAGTAAAATGTGAATTAAACCCTAAGTGAACTTCATTGGCATAAATTTATTGACAAAAATTAGTAAAATGTGAACCAAACCTTAAGTGTTTGACCAAAAAAAAATCCTAAACTCTAAGTAACCGGTTCCATTGGACCGGACCGGACCGACGGTCCGGTCCGATTCCCGATCCTAGAACCAACCGGTCCGGTCCGCGGTTCCCAAAATTGAGAACCGGTTCTCTCGGTCCGGTTCCCGGTTCCACATTGGAACCGGACCGGACCGGGAACCGCTCACCCCTACGAATCATGGCGATTCAAACTCACTATTATAGATTTCGTGACCATTGGATTGTTAAATTAGAAGACCTAGTGCATATTCACGAAATATTTCCATGAATATTATGGGCAAAATCATGGACTAATTCCATTTGGAGATTGATGAACAGATGTGATCAAAACTTGCCGTATGTACAAATTTTTGTCTCAATGGCTGGATTGATTAAAGGTTCTACACGCGATTTAGGGGGAATTCCGATTAGATCTTGTACCGGTGGATGGAAGGACATAACAACTAGTTGATTTGAGCTTGATATTCGAATTTAGAGACCTATAAGAAGACCAAAACGACGAGCGGGGTAGTGTAAGTAGACGAGTGCTTGAAACAAGAGAAATTGAAGCATGTCGAGTGTTTTTGAGATCTCTCTTCTTTGTAGTATTGTAGTCAATTAACTGTTGATCCCAAGAGTAAACAAAAGCAGCATATCCATTTGTAAACACGCGACAGAAGTGGCTGTAATTAGATGGAAGACATTTGTCTAAGTGATCCGCAAATTATGCGAGAGAATCTTTGTAAACACTCAGATGTGTGATTTATTGTTTGGAGAGAGTGAGTCTATAGTGTTGTGTGTACAAAGTATGAAAACGACTATCGAAGGGTTCAATAGTTACTTAGACTATAGTGGGGCAGAAGCAAAGCTCGACTCCTCGTGGATGAAGAATCTGCACCTGTCACAAGGCAATACCTGCACTAAACTATTGGGTTTCAGCCCAATTGGGATGCTAGAGCTGGAAGAGAGAAGTAGGCACACCCAAGCCGAACCTCTGTAAATCTCATTTACAATTTTTCTTATCCTAAACTCTTTAATTTCTACATTATATGTCTCTAGTTCATCTGTGTTTCGGCTCTACAGAAAATTGGTCTTTACATATTCAAAAAACTAATTCATCCCCTCTCAATTGCATATTTGGACCTAACATGTACTTGAATTTCTCGTGACATGTGAAATCACCATATTTTATTCATTCTCATATCTTCGCGACCTAACCTTTGAAACTCACTAATGCGTAAGAGGTGAGAAAACCCTAAGAACACCTCAACTTATAGAGGTGAGTTTGAAACTTAGGAAAGTGAGTCATCCTTCCTCAGCCAAACACATGAAACCTAATATTTAACCCTTCACCTTTCCATCAGCATCAAGGAAAGCTCATAATGAAAACACTCCTAGACGCACGACAGACACTCCTAGAGAGTTTCATAACAAGCCCTACCTTTCCTTATTTTTTTCTTAGTTTTTTCTCTTGTTTAACTTTCGCTTTTTAAGGTTCGAGTTCTGCACAGGATTGGAAGAGGCAGGCGTTTTTATAAGAGAGCTAGATCGATACAGACAAGCACCGACTAACACCAGCTCCCTAGCATTCCGTGCAGAGCCGACATTTCGCACTGTCACTTGTTGGGAGCCAAGTGTAAGAGATCAGCCTCACATGTTCTTGTATGAAAACTGCAAAACCGGTTAAAAGAAGAAAAAGGAACAAAATTTCAATGCTGAAAATTGATGATACTTGGTGTAGAGACCCCAAAGTTATTAGCCAGCACATTGCCAGTTATTACGATTCCTTGTTCAAGACAGTGGGTACCAGGAACTTCAATCCAATACTAGACCAATGTTCCTTTCCTGGCCAAGAAGAAATGAATGAGGCTTTGATGGCACCGGTCACCTTAGAAGAAGTAAAACAAGCTACATTTCAGCAAGGAGCTACTACAAAGGCCCTAGGACCTGACGGGATGAATGGCCTATTTTACTAGCATCGTTGGGAGGAATTACAGCACGATTTACACGGACTAGTCAGCTCCTTCTTCCAATCAGGACACCTTGACCCAGAGCTAAACAAAACACACATCGTGATTATCCCTAAAGTTACAATCCCAGAAAGCATCACACAATTCAGACCTATTAGCCTATGCAATTTCAGTTACAAAATCATCTCTAAGGTGATGGCGAACCGCCTTAAGCCCTGGCTCCCAAATCTCATAGCAATAGAACAGAGCGCCTTTGTGACCGGGAGACAGATTCAAGATAATATTTTTATAGTCCAGGAGATCCTTCATCAGCTAAGAGTTCGGGAGAGAAAAAAGAAGTTCCAGGCGATCCTAAAGTTGGACATGCAAAAAGCTTACGACAAAGTTGAGTGGGACTTCCTTTGTGCTAGCATGAAGAAAATGGGCTTCTGCGAAGAGTGGGTGTTGTTGGCGAAAGAGTGTATCTCCTCTGTCACATTCAGTGTAAAAGTGAACGGAGAACCTTTAAAGTACTTTCAACCTTCTCGGGGAATTAGACAAGGAGACCCACTATCTCCTTACTTGTTTATAATCATGGCGAACATGCTATTGTCCCTACTAAGAAAGGCTGTAGATGATGGGAGTTTGAAAGGTATCAAACTAAACAGGAACTGCCCTACTCTGTCACACCTGCTATTCGCTGACGATGCTATCTTCTTCCTGGATGGGAATATAGGTGAATGTCAAAATCTGGCCAATATCTTAAACCAATACTGTTTCACATCAGGACAAGCAATCATTCTAAACAAATCCGGGATCTTCTGTAGCGCGGGCTGCCCTCAAAACCTTAAAAGCAACACGGCGTCCGAACTAAGAGTACCAATCATGGAGAAAACTGGGAAATATCTTGGCATTCTATTAGATTGGGGACAAACAAAAAAACAGATGTTCGCGTGGATACTAGCAAGGGTAAACATGAAGTTGGAAGGCTGGAAGGAAAAGCTGCTCTCAAAGGCGGGCAAGGAGATTTTAATCAAAACAGTGGTACAAGCTCTTCCCCAATATGCAATGTCCATATTCAAAATCCCCATTTCGGTGTGCAAGGCAATTGAGCAGAAAATAGCCTCCTTTTGGTGGAAACAGAACTCATCTAAATCGGGTATCCACTGGAAAAAATGGGAACTTCTCAAAGAAAGGAAAATAGATGGTGGATTGGGCTTTAAGGATCTAGTTACTTATAACAAAGCTATTCTAGGAAAGCAAGCATGGAGACTTGTTCAAGATCCGACAGCATTGTGGAGCCAGCTACTTAAAGGTATTTACTTCCCCAACGGAAATCTATGGAAAGCTACAAAGGGATCCCGCCCCTCATGAGGGTGGCAAAGTTTACTAATGGGAAGAGATGCCTTAAGCCCAGACGTGAAATGGCTGGTCGGGAATGGAGATTGCATTAACATCAGAGAGGATATATGGCTGGGACGGGGATTAATAGGAGGCCCAGCAAACCGAGATGACCCACAAAAAGTCGCAGAACTGATCAACCAGGAGACAAAAACATGGGATGTTAATCAGTTACAAAGGATGTTTCAAGGGGAAATTGAGAGTGAAATTATGGCCATACGGTTAAAGCCAATCCCGGACAGTGATAGACAAATTTGGACAGGAAACTCATCAGGGGAATATTCGGTAAAACAGGGTTACTCCAAGCTACGAGCTGTGTCAACCAAGCTAAATACAGATCTAGCGTCCTCCTCTTATCAGTAGCCCCGCTCACTATGGACAAAGATATGGAAACTACAAAACGAGCCAAAAATCCGTTTCTTCCTGTGGTGTGTGTGTCACAATGCTCTGCCTACATCAGAAAATCTATACAAAAAAAAGGCCTTACCCAACCCTTTATGCCCAATTTGTCGGGAAAACCTAGAAACAACAGAACACATATTCGCCTATTGCAGCTGGACAAACAACATCTGGTCAGATCCGAGGCTTCGAGTGGATGTATCGCCAGCAAATTTATCAAGAATGGATAAATGGTTTGACGAATCCCTTACCAACATCACAGAACAGTCCGGCCGAGAGGTGCTTGCAAGAATTCTCTGGCAAATCTGGAAGGCAAGGAACGCCTGGGTTTTCCATCAAATCAGCCCAAGATCGGGAGCAATCGTTGATGAAGCAATTAATCTAAACGGTAACTACCGGGAGCAAAACTTACCTGTGTCGTGAAGCTGGCGGGTGAAATCCAAGACAGCGCGATGGACGTGCCCAGAACATGGAAGCTGGAAATTTAACGTAAATGGGTCGTGGATCGAAGGGGAAATAGAGGGATCGGTGGCTGGGGTATGCAGGGATCATAGAGGTTTGTGTACTGTGGGGTTTGCTAGAGCTGCGTCTGCTTCCTCCCCGCTGGAAATTGAAGCTGCAGCAGTGAAGGAAGCTCTGCGTTGTCTGGGAGAAGAGGCAGCGACGAAGAACAATCCAGTGTTGGAAGTCTGCGTATAGTCAGACAACGCAGCTTCAGTAAAATACGCTCATGACCCAGCTTTGAGACCATGGGATTTGAGGAGTCTGTTTGAGGAATGTAACAAGTTACTCTCCCAATTAAAGAGGGTTTCTCTAGTCCACTGTCCGCGCGAGTCCAATCAAGTAGCAGATTGGATCGCCAAAAATCATCGAATAGGGATGCTTCCATCCAACTGGGTGTCTAGACCGCCCCAATCTCTTTGGGATTTATTTTGTATTGACGCTAGTCATCTTCACTCTTATAATCCGCAGTTGAATGAATGAATGGAAATCTGCATTTGGACAAAAAAAAAAAAGCAAACCAAAGAAAAATCATATGTTCATCATTCTCTCCATCCCTCTATCTCCAATACCCACTACCGCCTTTTCTAATAGAGTGGGGTGAAAAGTAATTGGGGACTTACCTTAACTCGAATTGTCATTGTGAAACGTGAGTTTCCTGAATGGAAAACATGACCCATCATTGAAGATAGCAAATAGCAAAGAACTGCCCAAATAAACTCTTTTATCTTCCAAAGCTAAAACAAAGATGATAACCCAAAATTTAAAGTACATTTTGCATATTCTACTTATAAAACACAGCATCATGAGTCTCAAGTAATCTAAAACTGGCACTTTGATTTTTAAGGAACTGTAAGGCACAGCGGGTGTAAACTGCAAGTTTAATCCCAGTGCAAAGTGCCAGATTTTGAAATTAGAAAGTCCCCTTTTGAGATAGTATGTATTTACACAGTAGAGCACCTCCTCTAATCTTGGACGGACTCTCCCATGCTTCACGCGACCTTCGTTTGCCTAAGACTCGAGGTGGCTATGAACGGTTGTCCAGCCACGAACGCTGTTAGAGAAAACTTGCCGGATTTCGAAATTATAAAGTATGGCATAGAGGTTTTGTATTAGAGGATGCAAAGCAAACCGAAGGGAAAGTGGACGGTGTTTTCTCTTTTTCTTTTTTTGTGGAATTTCACAGAACAAATTACTTTACATAGGGTGCTAATTGTGCATTAGGGGTCATATGTGGAGGTTAATTGAGCTGAACTGTTGCAAGCAATACAAATGGGAAACCAGGGAAACAGAAGATGATAGCCAAAGGGTGAGTGGGTGTCAGTCCAGCAAAAGGAAAAATGAAGGAGGAGTTAGAAAGTTGGAACAAAATTTTCTGGTAGATATCACAAACTTCTTGTTAGAAAAGGTAGGCATTAAAGTTACAGTTCAAAGGAACATTAAGAAAAAGAAGAGGAGGACCATGGAATCTAATGCTCTCCTAGTATGTGCGGCCAATAGGGTTTTTCCTTTTCCTTTTGCTGTCTTGAAATTCTTTTAGAGAGAGAGAGAGAGAGCGCACTAGGTGCTGAGATTTAAGGAGAAATTATGTTTTGGTGGGAATAAAAATAGGGTTGCCACTTAAACTGTCCTGATCTGCTGCTACAGTCCATAAATTCTCCCTGGAAAGTAACACTTCTTCTCGCGCTCTCTCTCTCTCTCTCTCTAGGGTTGCCACTTAAACTGTCCTGATCTGCTGCTACAGTCCATAAATTCTCCCTGGAAAGTAACACTTCTTGTTTCTCTCTCTCATGGAGTGAAATGGAAGTTGGTGGAGGTGGTTTTTGGGGTGGGGATTTTGAATTTGCACTTATTTGAACTGAATTGTGCACCTCGCAGCCCTTGAACGAATTCATTCTCCTAGGATCGAAAGATGTCCTTTGATGAAGATTTCTCCTTTCTTTATTAAGGTGTCGTCTATTCATCATATGTCGCCCACTTTGGGAGTGGGGATGACATGTATTTGTCGAGCACTTCTCTCTACCTAGTTTTTTGACAAGCAATATCGACGAGAGGAGGACAAAAGTGTAGTCGACATATTTCGTTTTTCAGTCGTGGATCGCAGCGTTTTGTGGGGATTCAGCCTCCTAGCTTCACGGCTTCCTTGACCAAGTAGGGTGTCTTCTCACCAAGACACCTTTTAGCAGGTTAACCTGTGGCCTTTGATAGCACAAACGTTTGTATATCAACGATATTTCAGAAACATCAAAACCTCAATAAGAAGTCCCGACACTTTCCTGAAATACTTAAACGCAATATCATGATTACTTAATGTAGTTAAAAATTCTGTGTTTTTACTTCTCTCAGTACAATTTATAGCAAACCTAAAAGGAGGACAGTTTCTTTTCATGGCCTCAATATCCATTTCCATCCCCATTTCCATGTGGGTTTGGATTTGGAAGTTATCTGCGATGTAGCAGCAAAACTAGGAAGTCATTCAGGAACCCTCTTGTTGATCCGAGGACCAAGTGCACTCGCTGCTGTTACATTCATGGGACTCACATGATTGACAGCTATAGGTAACTTGATCCAAGATAACCGAGTCCAGGCAAGTATTTGCATCCTCGTAAATTGCTAGAGATGACAAACACCTCGCCTTAATGACTCGACTAGATGATTCTAAGCCATGAATGAAGTTAACATGTGACCAGCCAAGAGCACGCAGCACTCAACGTAGAGAGAGAGAGAGAGAGAGAGAGAGAGAGAGAGGACACCGTGATTACCTTCTTCATTATAATGTCAAACTTCGGAGAACATTAAGATGCCAGGCGAACTGCAAAATAATAATATACAGCTTCATGCACCAGAAGGTCCTTACTTTTACCAATGGTTGTCTAATGCAGCGTACTACACACAGATGCAAATTATAGCACCATAATTGCGTCGGATCATCATCCTCTGGTGAACGTCAACCTCAGAAGGATAAAATCATCCAGATTTGAACAGCAAAATCGCCTTCTGATCCAAATAAAAGTAAACGAAGTGGTTTGTTTCGTGGGTCACATAGGAACCTACATCAAAACGCAAAACTGGTTAATTGAACTCAGTGAAGCATAAGAAATTGCAAGTCAACATAAAGTGTAGATGATTATCATACATAAATTGATGAATTAATTGATAGAAACCAACTTATTTACGCAACCAAGTGTAATCTGTTCAACATCACCCCTCACGCACCAACACGATGATGGTCTTAATTAACTGATTCAAAGTAGAACTTCAGGCAAATCAACCTAACACTTGTATCATGCCCAGAAAAAGGTCTATATATGGCCTATCAATATCCTACCTACCACCTAATGGCAATGATTCCACCCAAATAAAAGAGGAGTGAATAACTTTCAACTGTGTTTCTGGATTATCAGCTATTCATACGTGGCAATCAATTTGAGAGTTCAAAAAGATAACCTATCGCAATCATCATAATCCAGTTTAAGATAAGCGTATGCACTGTTAACAGATATTGTCAAAATGACAATTATTTGCAAAATATAATGTTGTTCAAGTCATTCCATCGGAGCTAGCAGATGCACTTCTTCTCTTATGTTTAATAGTACAGGGGTACATGCACCTCCAAATAACTTGGACCACGACCTGTCTTGTCACAACTCAAGCAAAACTAAATGGGTCACCGTTCGTAGTCAAAAGGTGAGCAATTATGGACATTCAAGATAAAAATTTAAAAAAAAAAACATGTTTAAGGAGACAAGATTTGATATGTAGTTCGTACCCAGAGGTTGCCAAGCCATGCATAGTCCATAAGATCAAGAAATCTAAAAGAGAATACATGCCTATCCCAAAGGTTCCTGACCCCTAAATTCTAAATGAATAGCACCTTTATACTGCCAATAATACTTGTCATCCCAATAGTTAACACTTCTTATAAGTTAGTTCAATCATAATAGCTAGAAAATGATAACCTTGTTACTTGCCCTATTGGGTCACTTGCTACCCAAGTTGGCTTGCAATTGGCGCTTTCATATGAAACATTCGAATTGATGCCAAAAAAGTACATCTCAAGAATTTTCTTGAGCAGCCGACTTAACATCGTTAGCATCCAAACGGAAGGAATATGACGTTCAACTGCACTTTTATCCTCTTAGACCAGAAGGGCCCCAAAGGGTCCAAAGGAGAAAGGCGGGACCAGCTGGTTTATTTAAAAAAATGACTCTTGCTGCAAAGAAAAACCATTCGGGCCATGCAGCAACAGAACCAGTAAGATCCTTCCACTTGTTGGAAGTCAGAAGCAATATCATTGAGCATTCCAATAACACCTAAAGCAGATGCCTATTGTACAAGAATGACTACGATTAGTCATGGATACATAACCCAAAATATAAAAACAAAAAGTACATGCAGAGATTTAGGAAATGTGGAGGATTCAAATTCTGTACTCCACATGTCCCAACAGTCATTTAATATGGCTCTATAATTTCTTCAGATTAGACGATGCCAAGACTCAAGACCTTATCCTCCTTCACTACAGCAGAATGGTTTTCAAAAAATCAAGCCAATGGTATGAGCTTGATAGACATTTAAAACAGTGCATGAAAACAAGGTACATAAATGCCAAAGTGTTTAGGTTTCCCACCACTAACAATACATCAGCCGACCATAAAATTTTCGAGAAACAAAGGCAAATAATCACCCCTCATGTTCAAGAAAGACTGCACCTTAGCCATGCAGCCAACAGCTCCTTGACAGATCAAGGCGTTGTGATCCAATTGATACAATGCAGTAATAAATATAGTATAAACAAGGACAGACAAGTCAACCATGGAATTGATTCGATCTAAGCCGCTGCCGCCTCCTACATTTAAGACAAGGGGCTTGAGAGTTCAATAAAGTTAAACGGGGCTCCTAGTCCAATTTTATTGAAGAACTAATCATGCAGAATTCAACTGGGCAGAATTACATAGTCATTTCCTAACCTCATTGAATCCCTTTAAAACATGCTCTAACTAGTTCTTGCTTCGTGTCCTTTCCTTCTTCTAATAGAACTATGATGTGTAATCTGCTCTAAGTAGGTCACAGACTCTCAAGCTAGCATCGATCTAGGAACCATCACCTATTGCTTGGTGGAATCCAGCTAGTACACAGAAAGGCAGAAATTTGTGCAGGCGATCTTACATTGAATCATCATTGGTCCAGTATCAGCAACAAAGCAAAAGGTTTTTCCACACTAGCAATGAAGTATTGATGCACGCACATCAAAACAATTAAGTCTGTTAACCAAGTTCTGAAATGCATCATTTTATTAACAATGCTCCTGGTCATGGATATCTGTTTCTTCCGCTGAGAGTGAACCTCATATAAATCTTTTGACATCTATTCAATTTTTTCTTCAAACTACCAGATATCAAAAGAACATCATTCACCTTTACCAAAAAAAAAAAAAAGAACATCATTCACTATTACGACTACCAACACAGCCGTACCGATCATTAGAGAGCTTATACTGATGACCCAGAATCTGGATTCTGTTTCGAGATACTAAGTGATCTATTGACCAGCAAAACTGAATGTCCTATCACTCCACTGTCAGCACAAGGCATCGTTCCCACACAGTCAAAATGTGGGGAAGAGTAACCACACAGCCACAAAAGCAAATTGCTTCCGGATGAGTAAAATAGCAGCAGCAACCGCGAAAGGAAAGTCGAGTCGCCAAACTATGCGGACACGATGGTAGAGACCACACCAAAGACCAGATCTACCCCTCTACTCAGCGAATGCATTAGACCATGCTTAATCCCCGCATCAAGAACTTGCTAGAATCACCGATTTCCTCCAAAAAGAATACATCGCAAGAGAGAAACCCAGGAACAGCAAATGGGATTTTACCGAAGTTGCGACCGACGATGCAATGCCAAGTGGGTCCGTGCTTCTTGTCGAACTCCTTCTTGATATGCTCGGCCACGTCCTTCTCTACACTGTGCTTCTCGAACGCCTATCCACCCCCCACCCAAGAAAACAAAGAAAAGAAAGCCCACCAATCAGCTTCAGAATCGCAGAACATTGAACCCCGTGCCCAAACAAGAGACACCCACTGGAGCGATCCGCCAAATAGACACGACGAATTACAGAGAGAGAGAGAGGGGATTACGGCGATTGCGATGTCGATGGCTTCCTTCTGCATGTCGTCCTTCATGTCGGCGCTCTTGATGACGGTCTTGCGGCCGGCGGCGGCGGCGGCGGAGGAGGCCGACGGGGGCTTCCGGTCGTCGGAGCCGGGCCTCGCCGCCGGGGGCTCGGGCGACTTCTTCTTCGGCTCGGCGGCGGCGGCGCTCATTCTTCCCGGACCTACTCCTGCGGGGGGGGGACTTCTTCGGCGGTGGTGATTGGGTGGAGGAAGCAGAGCAGAGCTCAACCGATACTGCAAAATGCAAAGAGAGAGAGAGAGAGAGAGAGAGAGAGAGAGAGAGAGAGGTACAGAACAAGCCGCAGTGAATAAAGCAGGCTCTCTCTCTCTCTCGAGCTTCCGCTGGTTCGATTTCGAATTTGATGGTTCGAAGATTAGCTGATGTAAAAAGACAGGTAAAAAAATTAATCCGACCGATTTATATTGCTTTAAGGTTCATTATGTTCTCCAACAAAAATGAAGGGGACGGCATGTTAGAGGCATAAAGATTTGGCAACTACATTTGTTTTGATATGATTGTCGGGAAAAAAAAGAAATTTACCATATGCTCGCGAGTATTTTATTAGCCGGGTCGAGTCGGGTCGCTTGCTTATACAATGCGAGTGGAGGGTCTAGATGAATCCGGTTATAAATTACGGATCGCTCAGTAGAGTTCCTGATGAAAAGACGGGTTGAAATGAAAAAATCGCCTCATCTAGTATTTGTGGTAAGGCCACTGCTCGCAACCACCGGTAAAGGTTAGTCGGCCTTTACGATCATTAAACAACAGCCACTGTAATTAAGATTCGTACACAAAGGACGCGGTGTCTTTTCGCTAATAATGAAAATATTTTTCACCAATTCATTCATCTTTGTAGACGCGTTTTATTGCGAGGAAAATATTTTTCATATTGTGATTTTTTACAAGATGATTATACCATGACTTCTTTTCAAGGATGGGAAGGGGAAAAGGACTGGGTTTTTCTTGGACCTTGTAAGGCCCATCATGAATTGGGCTAGGCCCATAATGAACGGGTATCGCCCTCCGATCTGTTCACCACCTGTTTGTGCTTACCAGGAAGTCCTCTGCGGTTTGGACTGTTTCAGCCCGTTGGGCCTTAGAAGATTTTGCTGTGCTCTAAGGCTTCTTGAGCCTTTTGCTTTCCTTTCCTTTTCAATCAATAGCCAAAGCCTAATTTTGGCTTTATTAGTAAATGGGCATGGACGACCAGCATTAGCGCGAGCATTATCAGGAAGATCTCGCTTCAGTTACGAAATGTTCGAATCAACCCATATAGGGATCCGAAGTTCCAAGGCTGGCGAGCCCATCCTTGCAGCCCATTAAGATTCTGACATACATGAAATCTCTTCACATGAGGTATGCTGCAGCTAGACGACACAACGCAAACTGTTCGAAAATTTGCTCACGGCATGAATCGAAATTGTGACTTTACGAAAGACGGATGACCCATTTACTAATATGTCCAATCACCTTAATGGTGACCAATTTGATTATTAATACGGGGTTATAATTGCTTAGGGACAAAACTTTAGATTATCATATCAAAAAGCTTTTTCACCCATTTTAAAGTTATGGATTCAGCCTGGCCCCCATTCTTGCCTCCCCGGAATGCAAATAGGGAGTCATGGTTGATGATGCATCCATGCCACAGTCCGTCGCTTACGAAGGTAATCTAGATGTCAAGGAATAGAAAGATAGGAGTCGAATTTGGGAACATCGGCTTGCAAATTCAGTTTCGGATCACTCGATCAATTATCATAGTACTATGAAAATAAATTGCCTTATCGGAGAGAGGATGGGCCCCGTGCGGCTCGACTAAATGGGCTCGTGCCTAGGCACGGCTCGTTAGGTTGCGGACCGTGCCCGGGCGGTGCCCCATTATGGGCCTGAGCCGGTCGGGCTCATGGGCCCTAACGGCCCAGCCCAAGCCCGATTAGCCTAGTGGCCGAATCAAATGGTTGGCCCACGTATCCCGCTGGATCAACGACAGTGACCCAAAATAAAAATAAAGAGAACAAGTAGTTTTTTTTTTTGCTAGAAAAAAAAAAATTTGTTGGGTCATTGCTACTCACTGATCACTGATTAGTGACCATTGGGGAAAAGAATCCCAAACTCTATGAATTGACTCCCCTCCTCTCATTTTTCACCATTCCTCAATTGTTACTCAAGTGTCACTTTCAAAAGCTATTGCTTTCTAAAACCATGTCTCAATTTCATTTGTTCTTTCTCGTTGGAAAGAATAATCGCGTTCTAAATTTAACAATGGAGAACAGCAATAACATCAACGTGTCCAATAATCGCAATCTAATTCGGTCTTATCTTGTAATTGTCGTGGAACTCGGTCAAAATTAGAAAATTTTTTTTCTTAGAATCGGTTTGAGCAATAAATGCTTTGTTAAATTTTTTGTTCCTGTACAAATTTAGAAAAATTATTCCCAATATCAGTTTTGGAACAAAATCAATAAGCAAAAAAGTAACTTCTTAATTCTCGGAACAATTATTCCATTTTCTCGATTTTTCTTGGTTTTCTTCTTCCTTCTTGGTTTATTCTTCTTCCTTCTTGATAAAAATTCAAAATTGTCATGGAACTCATTCATTGAATATCATCATAATAACGTATATGTGCTGGCTTTGCCCTTGCAAACAGCCTGATTCAACGAAGATGAGACATAACAACCCAACAAAATTTTGGTACTGGATGAGGGGTCCAAGTGCAACACCTAATAGCGATGACAATAAGTTGGCGTCGAAATATGAATGCTGCACACGTCGGTCATTTCGAAATGACGAGTTCCATGCCACAGACGGAAAACACGCCCTTGTCGAGTAATGCCTATAGCTTGTAAATTTAACAATGGAGAACAACAATAAATTTTCTTCTTCCTTCTTGGTTTGTTTTTCTTCCCTCTTGATTTGTTATTATGGAACTCGTTCATTGAATATGATGATAATAACGTATATGTGCTGCCTTTGCCCTTGCAAACAACTTGATTTGACAATTATGAGACATAAGAACCTGATGAAAATTTGGTACCAGATGAGGGGTCGAAGTGCAACACCTAATAGCAATGACAATAAGTTGGCATCGAAATATGAGTGCTGCACACCTCGGCCAATTCGAAATGACGAGTTCCACGGCAGGGACGGAAAACACGCCCTCGTCGAGTAATGCCTAGGAAACCCGCATGGCCTTAGTTTCATAAGAAGAAGAGCACCCCTGCATCCTTTCTCTAGGTCTTCATCTTCAACTACCATTGAGTTTGAAACATCATTGGAAAAGACCGCTTCAAGTACATTTGATAGAGTCGGTGCAGAAAGTGCCGGCGCGGAGAAATAATGAAGGAGGCGAGCCGCTACTTTTTCGATCTCTCCACCATGGCTCCTGATTTGCTCATCCACCGACATTTACGATATCTTAGACAACAGATCTTGAAAAATAATGCGTCTAATCCGCCCGTTAAAAATTTAGAAATGACTGTCATAGGACATGATTAGCTCGTTAAGTTCATACTAATCATTTCTAAGGCACCACTGCACCTATTTTTAGTATTGCAATTTGATTCAATTGAATAAGTATTTTGCCATCAACTTTTTTTTCCTCAATTGATTTTTCCTGCACAGCCAAATTTTTCTCATCAAAATCTTTTCCAAAATTAGCAGGGCCGGCACGGTGCGCGGTGCTGCTAGGATGGGGCATGGGTTCATATATAGACTACTCAGGAAAACAAATATATTTTCAATGGAACAAAAACAGGAGAGCTATAAAAAAAATATATTTTTTTTACGTGGTTCCCACCCACACCCACTCCAGGACCGTCGGATGATATCGCCTCGTGGCGCGTGAACATGGGAAACATCAATCTCATCTTCTCATCAGAAAAAAAAAAAAGCAATAATATCCAATCTGATCTGTAACAAATCATTGCGCCCGGTTCCTAATTTCTTCGGTGCCTATGAGGCCGTTTTAAAAAAAACGCAAACTACCACGCTTGTCATAAATTTATACTAAAATTCACCATTAAAAATTTTAAATTAATATATTTATGACAATTTTATCAACTTACAATTTATTTCAGTTAAATTAGATTAATATTATGAAAAATTATAAATTAGTACACATGTTACAAACATAAGATAAAAATCTAAATTGATATACGCGTTAACTGCTACGTGTCATCAAAGTCGATAATTTGACGGTAAAATTATGAAAATAAATGGAAAGTAAATTTATTACAAATATATCAAGTCGGAATTTTCCATTGAAAAGCATAAACGTCGTACTTTTATATGTAGGCGCATAACTTAGTGCAATCCATCTTGGAGCATTGCTTCAAATTTTAGATGAGATTGATGAGGAATTTCGTACTTTAAATCGCCTTATTTTTTGTTATAAAAGGCCCAAATTAAAGATTCTTTTTGGACACGAAATTAAAGAGTAATTAGCTGGTACGAGGATATTCGTCTCCTTGATGCGTTCTTCTCACTCCCCCCCACCTTCGTGAAGATCTATTTCGACGATCTTGAGGCGTCCGCTTGGAATGGAAACCGTGGTAGAACTTACCAAAGCCAATGAATGCTCTCGTCCATGAAGAAATGAAATATCTGATCTTTTACTATATAATTCGTGATTTTGATTTTCTTGAACCGTACTTTCTCACTCTAAAAACAAAATCCTGGGTTGAATTCTTGAAGTGTTTATCTTGCAAGCTGAGCAAGCGTCGCTCTCTTTCCCAGGACGACACGACACCTCCATAAATAGTCTCGCGCATCGATCCCGACCCAGGAAAGATCCAACGCTTTTTCTCTTCCTCCTCTGCTTTTTTCCTTGAATTCTTGCATCGAAACGACCTCTCGGGTGGGGAGAAGGAGGCCGGTCTGTTTTTGGGGAAAGGAGGAGCAAGAATGGGAAGCAACCCAAAGGGAAGGACGACCCTCGAAGTGGGAGCTGATGGGGTGGCTCTCATCACCATCATCAACCCTCCTGTGAATTCTCTCTCTCTTGATGGTAACCCCACTCTTTCTTTCTTGATCAGTTCTTTGGGTAATCTTGCGAGCGTTTGATCTGACGGTCTTGTTTGAGCCCTCTTTTCTTGTTTTCTTTGACCCGGATGGCGTGAAATGGTGTGGGCTGGGGATTTCGCAGCCGGGGTTTTTTCTTTTCCTTTTGAAATTATGATTTGATGTTCGTTGCTGATATCGCTCATGGGTTCGTTTATGATCAGCTTGATTGCTCATGTGTGCTTTTTTGCCCCTCTCATCGTTGGTGGCTTCCGTAGGTTTGACTAGTGAATTTGCTGGTGGCTTGTTGCTTTCAGTAGTTTCTTGGAGTTTGAAACTTG